GCTTCTGTTATGGAAGGACAAGAGCTGCCTGTGGGGTCATATGGTCCAGATACTAAACCTACTGCTTGTCTCCTTCTTATGGATTTATTTTTTACAAATTTAACCACATTTTCTATTGAAGGTGATATTTCATCTGTTTTTGGATCATATGTTATACCTAAGATTTTATATGGTTTTAGTGTTTCTTCTGTTTGTTGTTGTACAGGATATGTTCTTATTTTTGTTAGTTGAAATGATCCCATGGATAGTGATTTTTCTGCTTTTGATAATTTATCTTTTATTTGATCTATGTTGTTTCCTGTTACAAGTACATCATCTACATATGTATTGTTTTCTAATTGATGTTGTTCTTCTAATGTGATGTATCCTTTTTTGTGTGCTTCCTTATATAAATACCTTACACTTGCATTTAATATAAAGGGTGCACAGTTTATTCCCCATGGTAATCTAAGCCATCTATAAAATTGAGGTTTATAAGTTCCATCTGATTGTTTTTGTGGCATTCTAATGACTAGTAACCATTGATCTTCTTCACTTAATTGTACTTGTACAAAAGCCTTTTTTACATCTGCTATTCCAAATGAATCTGAAAATCTTAATCTTAATAACATGTGAGCTATATTTGGTAACAATTTTGGACCTTGATTAAACAAATCGTTACATGACGCTTTGTTTTTATCAGCTGCATTGCCTGCTATTACAACTCTTAGAGGTGTGGTAGGATGGTCAGGTCTTGGGTGTGGCACCACACCATCAAGACACATACCACATGGAGAAAGTAAATTAAGAAGATATGAAGTGGGTGTGATAATTCCATCTTTGATCCAGTCATTGACAAATTGTTGGTAGGCATCTGCCATTGGTCCACCTTTTTCTAATAATCTAATTACGGATGAACTTCTTTGTTCTCCTGTTTTTAGATTGTTATTACAGAATTGTGGAAAGCATGGATTTTTTGGAATAGGTGCTATGACTCTTTTGTTCTCAATTTTGATTTGTTTGAAATATTCTGATAATTGTAGTTCGGATGTGTCATTATCTTTGTCTGTCCCAAATATATCAAAATAGTCGAGTCTTAATTGTCTTAATATCACTCTGTTTAATTCATAATCATCAATTGTTTGTTCGAGTGATTTTATATACATATTTTTGGGAGTGAACATTGGTATATCCTCTGGTGTTTCATGCCAGTACCCTCTGGGTATTAATCCAAAAGGGGTATTTGTTAAATGGAACCAAGGATCATCATATAGTGGGTATTTGAATGGTGTATGTAATAATACAAGATCCTTTCCCCCCAGTATTAAATCAAAAGATACTTCTTGCGTATACAATATTCTAGGGTCAGCAAACAGATGATGAAAATCTTTTAAGAATGTAACAACACTTGGGTTTCTTCCTGTCCAATGTGATTTTAATGGTACAACTATTGCTTCAGTGTTGTGTGTATAGTGTGGGTGCATATGAGATTTTAATACTAGATTAACAACTGTTTGTGATTGTAGAAGGCTTGCTCCTTGGCCTACACCTGATATTTCATATGTTTTCTGTATTTTATATGTTTTTAAATTCATTCTTTTTACAGCGCTTTCAGTTATCAAATTAATTTGTGCTCCTGTATCTAATAATATGTGTATTATTTGGTTGCTTTGTGCACATGTAGCTTTTGATGTTTCAAGAAAACAGCATTTTGGGCTACTAAAACCCAAGCTTAATGATATTGACACCTTTTCTAGTCATGTATTTGATGCATTGGATGCACTGGACGACGAGTTCTGTGAATTTGCTTGTCCATTATTTTGTTGATTTTGATTATTTGAGGGAGTTCCTGAATTTGGGCAACAACAATGAACCGATGCACTAGCTTGTTGATTATTTCCTTTTGAATTTTTGTTATTGATTTGATTTAATCTCCCTTGGAATTCATTAAATAACTGTTGTAGTGAGTCATTGGATTCATTATTTTCTTGTTTGATATTATTATTATTGTTATTGTTATTATTATTGTTATATCTATTTTGATTTTGATTTCTTTTGTCATATGGTTGGTAACGGTTCCCTTGATTGTTGTAACCACCTCTTCCTCTGGAGTTGTTATATCTGTTATTTCTCCAATTATTTGTATTGTTATTATTGGCATTTCTACATAGGATCGTATGGTGCTTTAATCTACAGTTTTTGCATGTCCATTTGCTGATACAGTTATATGCCCTATGGCCTGCTTTTAGACAGTTGTGACATAAGTTCTTTTGATTTGCAACTTCTTGTTTCTTTTGTAATGAGTATGGTGCTTTAATCTACAGTTTTTGCATGTCCATTTGCTGATACAGTTATATGCCCTATGGCCTGCTTTTAGACAGTTATGACATAAGTTCTTTTGATTTGCAACTTCTTGTTTCTTTTGTAATGGTGCTTGACAGTGAAAGAAAGGATGATTACCTTCACAAAATAGACATGCTTTCTTCTGATTTTCTTGTGTGGTATTTAATTTTTCTTTTTGTGCATTGTTTTTATTTTTGCTTTCTGTTTTTATTTTTTCTTCATCATCATCGCTTTCTTCTTCTTGGATTTTTTCTAATTTTACTGATACTTCAGTAGTTTTTGGTAATTCTTTTTTAATGTGTATGGCAGGTTCACTTTTGATTTCGGATGTTTGTTTCTTTTGATTCTTTGGTTCTTCTTTAATCATATTTACACTTACTTTAAAAAGAGATAGTTTTTCATTATAAGAATCAGTTTGCTTTTTAATTCTATCACTAAAATAACTAGTGTACCATCCATATTGTTTTTCTGGGTTTTCCCGCCATTCTTCTAATATTTTTCGGTTTAAAACTCCAGAATTAATTTTTGTAGTAATGTAATTTTCAAGATTTGATATTATAGGACCTTGGTTTAAATGATCTAATACTGTTGGCCATATTTTAGCGTGAACCGTTTTTAGATCGACTTGTAGATTTACAAGCAATGCCATCTGTTTTTTGACTTCTTCTAAATAGGAGACACATTGTTCAAAGGTTTGATCCGGTTGTGGCAAGTTTTCTATTTCCTGAAGTATTGTTCTTATTTGTTGTGATACGTTTCCATAATTGTCAAATAATATACGTAGCGCTTCTAAATATGCTGTATCATCGTTCCTTCCTCTATAGTGTTTAATTTTTTGCAGTGCATCTCCGTCTAAGTGCATCATAAGTATCTGAATTCTTTGTATTGGCTCTAATTGATCTATTGGAGCTTCGTGGACTTTTTTGAATTGCGTCCATACTTGATCAAAGGACACTTTATCATCGGTTGTGCCCTCAAATTTAAAATCTTTAACAAAAGTTTTTTCATAATCTTTGATGTATGTTTGCTGTTGATCGTTTGGGAACTTGATTCTTGATCCTTTTCCGTAATTGTTTAATTCACTTCTTAAAGACCCTTTTAACAGACTCATATCTATACCAAATTCTTTTTCTAAGGATATTGGTGTGTCGTTATTTGGACGTGTTTCTTTTTGCAATTCTTTTGATATTTGAAATTCTTCTTGTAGTTGAATTTTTTCTTTGTGATTGCTTTTGATATTTTCGATTTTCGTATTTTGATTATTTTGATTTTCAATTTTTTCTCGTACCATTTCGTGAGTTTCTTCCTTTTGATTAGCTTTTGATTTTTTGATGGTTTTTGAGGATTCTTGTATAGTTTTTTCTATTTTTGGATCTATTTCTGGTATATCGATCGATAGAATTTCCATTTTATTTGGGCGTAATGTTATCCAATTTTCTATTATACATAGATGAACTGTAGAATAATCAAAAACGTATAGAAAAACATCTTAAAATTTAACAAAATTCAGTAGCAAAAGATTCTATCTCTGTAACTCTCTGTCATCGAGTCAACAACAAAGATATTTCAGTTGGAGGATATCTGTAAAGATTTCTTCTTGATTTTCCGGATCAGAGTCAACAAACGTTCTATCTGCTGCTATAATGCCTCTTATTATTCTTAAGAGAAGGGATATTATATTTAATTTTTGCTGTTGAACATATTCTTCATTATATTCATTTTTCAGTTTCTTTAAATCTGGATTATCAGAATGCTCGGATTCTTTTTCTTCTATTGGAAATGGTTCTGGTAAATTAAAGTCATCTTGATTTTGTTCTATTTCGGAATTGGAATCTGAATTATATTGGGCAATTACAGTAGAGGGTGTATTTAAGGTATCGGGAATATTTTCATCATTAAGATTTAAAGCAGTTTTTTCTTCTATTTTAGGATTTTTTGGTCTTCCTCTTTTGATGATTTTTTCGGGAATTTCATTAGGGGGGTTCAAACCTTGATCTTGTTGGCCATCGACGGGATGGCTTGTCGTGGCTCGGCGTTTGACACCTTGTCCTCGAACCATCTTCGTAGACTCCCTTCTTTTCGCGCAAATTCAAATGAAAAAATATTTGGGTTTGGGACACAAACTCAAAGTATGGGAAGCGTGTTGAAATTTTTGAAGAAAGAAATGTATAGAGAAATATTTTTTTTTTTTTTTTTTTTTTTTTGTGAAAGAAGGAAGTTATTTTATTTTACTGAATCGAATTTCTGATATTGTTTTTTTTTTTTTTTTTTTTTTTAAGTTTGAAGAAAGAAATGTATAGAAAAAGATTTTTTTTTTTTTTTTTTTAGTGAAAGAAGGAAGTTATTTTTATTTTACTGAATCAAATTTTTTACGCTCTGCTACCAGTTTGTTGGTGACTGAAGTCACTGCAACAAGAAAAAGCTTAGACTGTAAAGAAAAAGATTAATTGATAAAAACGATTTCAAGAAAAACACAGAATCAGCCTGGGACTGGGGCCGGGAATTCACGGTGGAATCTCTATTTAAAGTTAAAGTATATTTCAAGAAGTCCCAAAATTTAGATAATGAACAAAACAGACAACACAGATTTTTGACGATTTTCGAACAAGATATTTTTCAGAAAATACCTCTCAAAAAACCTCTGATCACGCTGCGGCGGCAACAAAACGAGAACTGTGTGATTTTTATGAAAGCAAGGGGTATTTATTGATTTCTTTTCCTGCTCTTGATCAAGGAGGTTTGATCAAGGGCAGGGAAATCTTGAAGGCCTGGGATTGGCCGACAAATTGGTAATCGAAGACGTCTTGGCGCCAAGACAGACGTCTTGGCGCCAAGAAATCCTAATTTTTTCTTGGGGAGGGGAAACCGTTGACGGATTTCATCCGTTTTTTACGCGCGGGTGGTTTTCCACCCGATTAGATATTTTTAATTGATTTTTATTCGGGGTGCGCCGCGAGTCCCCAACAGCAGGACAGTAAAATATTTCCTACAAAGTACAATATTTTGAATAATGAATAAAATATCACAAGTTGGCTTTTTGCAAACCCTTGAAAAAAAATAAGTTCCATGCACCACCAAAGCGTATAAGCTACATCGCAAGAAAATTAATCAGAAACCATAATTTTATTCCATGAACTTGTAAGAAACTGAATTATGTTGATCCATTTTTTTGGTGATATTTCAAATACGTTTCTGAACTTCTTCAATAGTCAATTCTATAAGAAGCTGTAGGTACAGTATTTTTCTCTCCTGTCCCCAGAAAATACTGTGAATATAATTGGGGAGAATCATTTGCGTTTACTTTGGAATCAGCCAGCGAAAAAAACTATATTTCATTCCAAGGAAAATTTTATTAATCGACTATAAAATATACTTTATTTTACATAGATGCGTTCAACGGTGACTATTACTGATTATTCTGGGCTTTTCAGATGCTGAAATTTGGAGAGAGAGAAAAAATACTGTACACGGAAATTCCGTCTGTTTCTTTCATGTTATGCTAAATTTTGTCTATGCCTCTCTATGGCATGGCATGGCATATTTTTCTAAAAAAAATAGCTCTTAGTAGAAAGATAAATGCATTGTCAGATACAAACATGAATTCCGCTTAAACTGCAAATTACAGTCCAGGATTTGAAAAAAAAGTGGAGCAAAGGGATTTCAATTGTCCCGGTTATTGTACCACGAATGTTGAGATATGGGCTCCGCGCTGTTGGAATAATGGAGGAGGATGGGACGAAAAGTGGAAGCCGAATTGAAGGAGGAAAAATAACAGCAAGAAAGAAAAGGAAGGTATAGGGGAGGTAAATGAACAAATGAATGAAGGAACCAAGGAATGAATGAATGAATGGGTGCTTTGGCGTCCGCAGAGACAATATTTCCCAGCTGGGTGACAAATGACCGCATGGAAATTACGCCGCGCCAGCAAACGAGGCGCGGTGACCGCGGAAATTATCCCGGGCTCTCGTTTCTCTGTCTCTCTCTTTTTTAATTCATTATTTTATTTATTTTCGGTTTGTAACTTTTTTTTTCTTCTGGGTACCCGCCCGGGCAATTACCGCTCACATACCAAATGACTTGTCTTCCATACACTTGTGCTACCTCAAACCCAGGGGCACCNAAAATTTAGCAGAAGAACTAGAAAAAATAAAACAAATAAAACTACCAAGAAAAGTAAAAGTAAAAAATGAAATAAGTTCAGAAATACACGCATTTAGTGACTCAAGTGGGTTAGCAATGGGTGTAGCCATATATTATGTATCAAAATCTGAAAAAGAAACAAAAGTTCAACTACTTTGGGGAAAATCAAGATTAATACCCAAACAAACTAGACAATCAATAGAATCAAATCCAAAACCGATAAAAATAAATAGATTAGAATTAACAGCTGCATGCATAGTAGCGCAACTAGTAGATGAAATCAAAAAGGCATTAAATTTACATCACTGTGAAGTATATTTTTGGACAGATTCAGAAATTGCATTAAATTGGATACAATTAGAAAATCCTAGAAACATATCATACATAAGAGCAAGAACAGATA